CCCTGTATAAAATATTCTGACATCGGGAATGATACGCTGTTGATATATCCTCCTAGCCATTAACGCATTTCCGTCCGAAGGAAAAATGCATATACGCTAACTCGGAATATGTGAATCTTGTCATAGTCTGCTCCTTTTCTTTTTATTATTGATTAAAGAAACTTTCACAATGTAAAAAACTATCACGTTTATGAATACTTGTTAAAAAAAGACCGCAACGTAATCGATCAAATGTCATTTTAAAAACAAAATGGGGCACCAGTCTACTAGTTCAAAATAATTTCATTATACTACAAATGCATGAAAATAGTTTTTATTTTTTTACGCGAAAACGGTGCATCGAACGGAAAAAAGTCAAAAGGTCAAATTTATTGCAAAATAAATTTTTGAAAAAAGCAATGGCGTAACATGTTTTTTTGATACATCTGCAGTATAAATTCTATACAACAAAAAATTTGGTGTTTAGTAGATGTCTGTCAGATTTCATCTAGAACAGCATTAAAGTTATGGCAAGAAGACGAATTTTTTCTTAAAATTTTAATACACCTCAAAGTTAAGAGGCTTAGGGCATATGTTCATATAAACTATTTTTCCTAAAATGAGCTGAGGAAACATAACCTGTAATTTTAGCCATCAATTAAATTACACCCTGTATATATCAGTTGCTGCACTGCACTGCATTGCAGGCTTTGCCTACGATTCCGACTTGTACCAATTATAAGATCACAATTAGAAACGACTCTCATCCATCTGCTTAATGGATGAAAAATATTTTATATCAAATTCAGCAAGCTAAACTTGTAATATATCCGTAGTGGGTTTGCTAAAAAATCCTGGAGAGATGGATTATTTAAGTATTGAAAAACAAATTATTTATTAATTATATTTAATATTAATATTGTCATGCCCTGTATAGTGCGGTGACTCACAATTTGAGCTCTGTCATGTGTTGTCAAATAGCAGTTTCATATTTAGGACCCTCGCAGACTGCAGAGTTTTTATCGGTCGATAGTCTGATCGGCTTTTTAATCAGTATGGAGAGGTGCTCCATCTTTGTCGCGCAAACTAGACCGTACAAGTCGCTGTCGTGTGGCCAGGCCTTTATTATGCTTATGTCTATGATCGTATCATTGTGATAAATATCTTTAGAAAGTGTTATTTGTTTGACTCGAGTGATTTATTGTTTCTGATGATGAAATTTTCATACATTGTTAATTCGTAAAAATATAACTTTTAAGTGCAATGAGGTTGAACTAACTAAAGCCACACTCGATTTTGTTGCTTACCATATTACGTTTTATAAAATAGTTACTATTTATATGCGATGAAGAATTTAGAATTTCTTGTGCTGAGAGTACAGTAAAAGTGCATAATATATAAGATATTACAATGGTACTTGGAAAGTTTCGCCATTCCTAGTATTTATCAAGAAACGCGAATAAATCGGAATTATCCCAAAATTGTTTTTATTTTAATTTTAACCCATTCGCAATCTATTTCTTAACATAAAATACTTTTCATCCTTTAAACATATTGGTGAAGGTCGTTCCTAATTCAGACCTTCTACTGTAAAAGCGTTCCGTAGACAAAGTCATAAGCTTGGCCGAGCTGCAAGACGAGAAACTTACGAGACCTATTAGTGTAAATGAAAAAAGGGAGCTAAGATCCCACGGGAAACAATATTCGCCACTCAAAATCCCCTGCTTCAAAATGATTCCCATATTTTCTCTGCAGATCCTCAGAAAGCCTCCTGTCAAAGGCTTCGTCATATGTCGGGGTCAAGCCACTGCCACCGTCAGCCGTATTGTCGTTTAGTCTTCCTAATTGGGCCTGTGTCCTGTCCGTCCCTTACGGGGATCAAATATGTCTGTCCTGGCGTTCCTGCCGCGGTCGCAGCCTGGAGCGTTGTCGAATGGACCACTGGCCGACTTCTATCCGATTAGGGTTTTCTTAAATAATTACCTCGTTACAGATGAGAAAGGATGAGGGCGAGTTCTGACGTTGTTGCCGTTTGTACGTTGGGCTCATCTAATCCCAGGACTTAGCGTCTGGTGATTTTTTTTCTCAATCATTCAGACTGTATAACAATTGACTGTTCTAGTATTTTAAAAGCAAAATAAAAAAGATGTAAATACAAAAATTATTCTGTAATTGATGCAGACTCCATTACTCTCAATTTAGTCAATCGTGGCCTTGGGCATGTCAATTTGCTGTTTGAACTCTTTTGAGTCTTGGTCGGCACATCGTAATAATAGAGCCAAGTCTCATACCTGTCACGATGCTGGTCACATTCCGAGATTGCCTCTTTCGGCAACAACTCTGCTCTTCCGTCAGTCTATGTGGTACCCAGAGAGAAGTTTCCTTACGTGTCTTTACGGGTCATGCAGAATTTGAATGAATTGCTGGTGCATGAAGGTGTAAGGTTTGCTCTATACATTATGTTGGTATGTCACTCTCCGGTATCCGGCTTTTTCCTCACAGTTATGTTTTCCTCTGTTACTGACATTCGCTGCCTTCCTTCCCTCTCAGCGTCCTGCATACTGAAATTGCCCATTTGGAATTCTTTGTACCACCTGAATATAGCCGTCGATGAGGACAATCACTCTTTGACCTCGCGTAAAGTTATACCGTAAAACTCGCCTTTTCTCAACTACGTGCCCACGTTGCCATAGTCCTCACTTTACACTGTCAATACGAATGAACAACTAAATAAACAGACGTGCTGCTGGCAGCTACTATGCACTCATGGACATGTCTCAACATGTAGTAACATGCAGCCTCCTGCGTGCGTTTTTTAAGTCATATTGCAAAAGCTTCATAGTACCCTTTTTACGACGTCTCGATGTAAACGGAGACCTTCACGTTCAATTGACACCTTGTCAACAATATATTTGATCAGTCTTCCTGGTAAAACTCGATTTGTTTCTTACTTTAATTTTCACATTCCGATATAGCATATAACTACAATAGTATGAAAGGTCCAGCATCCTGAGATTACCATTTTATTTTGAAAATGTTTCTCACGAAAGCAGCTTTCAACGTTATAAATATTTTTAAACGATATTGTAATTGATTTAAATTAACATACAATATTCTTTCTAGTACGTCATGAAGAAGAAAACAAAAATTTTGAAAGCTTGTCATGAGCAAAGAGCAAAATTCCTTGCTCGTTGTGGATGCAACATTAAAATCTTTGTACTTTATATACAGGGTGACTTCGAAGTTGAGTCATTTATTTTGACAGTGAGTAGATCTGATCAAAAGAAATGTTTTTTTCCTTTACCATTTTTCTGGTAAAATTAAAGTAACAAAGTTATAGCCCTTTGGAAGTTTGAGTACCGCCCTGTCTCAATAATAACATTATGTGCTCGTGTTTGGCGACAACGGATATAATCCGCCTTATCGGTTCATCGCATCGGAAACAAAAAAGCGAAAGAATTTGGAACGATGTTTTTACAACTATTTCATTCAGTTGTATACAGTCAGTGTCAGTCGGTAGTGGATAGTGGTGTCTGTTGCGTGGCTCAAACGAAATAAAAAATGGCACATGTTTATGCGGATCGGTTTCCCAATCGAGTGCAACCAACCCCTCGTGCCTTTGTTAATGTAGTTCAACGGGTTCGTGAATCATTTGACTTAAGACCTCACATATGGACGGCATGCCGGTGCTCCAAGACCTCACGATCAAATACAGGTCCGCACTGAAATACTTGTCGGGAGGATACTTTATAAAACAAGGTAACATTTTATTTTTAATTTTTTTTTTATTTTTACACACATATTTTGGTTTATCTTCCTTCTACAATCATTATCTGAAAATTAATGACTCAACTTCAAACTCACCCTATATATATGTATATTTTAACTACCTAATCACTATACACTTCTCCTGTCGTTACAGAAAAAAAACTAATGTGAAGTGGAATCGATAAGAAAGGAAAATCTAGGCGAAAGATTCAGTCTTAGTGATTAAAATGATTTGATTGGTTTTGCATTGAGAGATCTTAAAAGTTAGGGGACAGTTTTCGATTTCTTTTGTATCGACCAAAAATCAGTTTCTTGGATAGGATAGGACAGTTTTTTCTAGTACTGACAGAAAACAGTCAATCTTCCGAATTCAAATAGGATTAAGCAACATTTAACGATTTTTGCTGGCGACTGTTTATTCGAAATGACCCCAGCGTACGGATTTTTGTTCGTTTGAAGGCAAGGAGGATAAGAATAGACATTGACTATACTCCAAATTAGCGCCCTAAATTACATTAGTTTGCCGTTTTGCTCAGTTGTAGGCACTGTAGAGAAGTATTTCTCAGTTTAAAGGCATACATACTATAGGAAGATGTTTGGAAAACTTTCTTCGAACTCTCGCATTACCCCAATGTACTGACACATTTTCACATTTTTACAGCCGTTCCTTGAGGATTGAGTGATGTGAATGTTCTCTTTTAGGACCCTAAGCAACAACGCTTCCCTGAGGAGTGTCCAAGAAACGATTTAACAGTTGCATCTAACAGGCTATATATAACAGTTTTTTCAGATTCTCAGAATTTTAAAAACATTCAACATTTTCGAAAACTGTACGATTTGCAAAATTACCGAAATGCTCAAAATTTACAAATGCCAAAATTTTTCAAAATTATCAAAATCTTCAAAAATCTATGGATTTTAAAGATTTTGCAAATTTGATTTTTTTTAAAATGGTAGTTTTGGAAATTCCCAAGACGTCGTAATTTATGCAAATTTTGAAAGGTTTCGAAGTTTGCAAAATGCATCTATAATTGTGACCTCAATCGTCGTTCATTTTAGGCACCCAAAATAATGTAAATTTTGCATTGTGTGATCACAAATATAGTAAATCATTCATCAGGTTATAAGTGAATGAATGATCACAATTTCAGCTCTTTTAAAGTGCGATTATCACGAATGCTTGGGCAATATAGAGTCTGCCAAACTGACACAAGGTTATAAATACCATATAAGACCGTATACAGAAATTCGAATTACATACTTAGGTAATGTTACCTTTATTATTATCTACAAAAAAAAATCTACCTATTTGTATACAATTAACATATCTTACGTTATTTGATAAAATTGTGTTTCACGTAAATCAACTTTTCAAAATTGTACTGCCCTGTTGCTTATCTTGTGTTTCTTGCTTAGGAGCCTCTTGTGGTTTATTTTCAACTTTTTCTTTGGGTTTCTCTTCGGGGTGACTAATGTAGAATGCTTCCCAGTCTTCTTTGTTCTCACAAGTCCACCTTTTCTCCTCTTTGCCGTCAACAAGTCTTGTGCACCATGTACCTGGAGAAAAGCATAGTCTTATTCCTTCAGTGTGTCGGGATTTGTGATTTTAAAACACACAAAGTTTCTTAAACAAGCACATTTACAAAAAATACAAACCGTCTGTAAATGTTGTAAAAATCGAAAATGTACATCGCAACTTGATTTAACTTGACATCTCTTCTATGCATTACGAGGAATAATGTATATAATGACGAAATAACCCAAAAAGTACAAATTTGCTCCAAAAACTATGATATTCTATACTAAAACATCCATTTTTCGAGCGAGTTTATCAATATTAGTACCATTAGAAATATTCTTTTGAAGCATATATTATCGATTTTTTTAAAAAGAATGTGATTCGAAATAATTTCGTTATTTGCGTTGATCCTACTAAATTGTTCGCAAACAACATTGCTTACCATAATCGTCCTGTAAAACGCTGGTTGCTTCTTCATTACAAATGCAGTCCGGTTTAATAACCATATTACATGGCAAGATAGATTTCACTATGGTTCCGTGACAATACACAACACCTGACTCGTCTTGCTTAGGTTTATATCCCTCTGTGCATTTACATTCTGACAGCTCATCGGCTATGCAGCTTGCCAGGAAGGAGAACAGGATAATCAGTAGTTTCCTGTAGATAAAAATGTGGTACTGGTCAAGGTAATCGTTAAACGGTGTTAAGACTATTTTGTTCTTTGACAATTTTTCAAAGATACACATGCACAATAGCTTTGTGAACTAACATTTTTTATTAGCGAATATTACATTTGAAGCTTCTTGACCTCCAAACACTGTTCAAAATAAGTAGATATACCGAACTATACTAAGTGACATATAAATCCGAACACCCAGTTTAAATGGTTTTATTTTAATAAAAGTTGGTGAATGTATTTATCTTACTGTAAATAACAAGTGAAAAAATTTTCAGCCTCATCAGTTGGACATTCCGGTGTTTATACTGCTTTTTTTTTAATTCACTAACGCTCTAAAAATGAATATTTCAGCCGCAGTAAAGAATCAACGTTGGCGGATTTTGGTTCTTGACATCCTTGACGAACGGTTACGATGCCTAGAGTACGGAGACCTGCACGATTTCGTCAACTTAGTGAGTTTGATAGGGGCCGTATAGTGGGACTTCGGGAAGCTGGACTTTCTTTTCGGGCAATTGCAGTTAGAGGGCAAAGAAGTGTAGACAAGATGGCCAGGTGTTGTCAGGTTTCTCCACTACCAGGTCCATTGCAAATGAATGGTTTGCAGAACACGGAAGACCTATTGGCATGCGAAGTGTTTACCGACGAATGAGAAGTTTTGGCTTGTTTTCATACCGGGTTTTTTGTTGAAAGACATGTTCATCACACTGATGGAGTTATGGTTTGGGGTGCTATAGCTTATGGTTCCAGGGCACCTTTAATCTTCGCGCAGCGTTATATCCACGAAGTTCTAGAACCCCATCTTTTACCCTATCTTGACACCCTGGCAGATCCAACTTTCCAACAAGATAATGCCCGACCACATGTTGCAAGAGTCACAATAGACTTCTTTCAACATAATGATGTCATTTGCAGGTTATTAACGGCAGGGTTTAAGCATGATCGAGCAGGCCAAAAGCCATAAGTAAGAACCTCCTAACCTAGTCAAGGAACGAGATCCATATGTTTCTAGTATATTTGATATATACTAAGTGACATATAAATCCGATCCGCCAGTTTAAATGGTTTTATTTTAATAAAATTTTGTATAAGTACTTAATGAAGCATAATAAGTAAATGATAAAAATTTCAAAATGATTGCACTGCTTTAAAGCCCTTTGACCTTTAATAATGTGTGGATGCACCCTGATGTGCTACGCATTCTCCAACGCGCCTAGGCATGCTTCTGATCAGGTGGTCAATGTCCTCCTGTGGTATCTCATTCCAGGCAACCACCAACTCTTCTCGAAGTGCTTCTAGAGTCTGAGGAGGACGTTGCAAATTGAGCAATCTCCTACCCATCATATCCCACACGTGCTCAATTGGGGATAAGTCGGGAGATCTTGGTGGCCATGGTAACAATGTGACATAATTATGTTGAAAGAAGTCTATTGTGACTCTTGCAACATGTGGTCGGGCATTATCTTGTTGGAATGTTGGATCTGCCAGGGTGTCAAGATAGGGTAAAAGATGGGGTTCTAGAACTTCGTGGATATAACGCTGCGCGTTCATGTTACCTCTGATGAAGATTAAAGGTGACCTGGAACCATAAGCTATAGCACCCCAAACCATAACTCCAACAGTGTGATGAACATGTCTTTCAACAAAAAACTGTGGATTCCTCACCACGTCGCCTTCTAACCCTGGCACGACCATCGTGCATGCCTAAACAAAATCGAGACTCGTCACTAAAGACAATACTGTTATATTCCTGATCCCAGAGTGACCGTTGTCTGCACCACTCAAGGCGATTACGTCGGTGTTCTCGAGTTAAAGGGAGGACCCAGTGTGGCCGGTATGAAAACAAGCCAAAACTTCTCATTCGTCGGTAAACACTTCGCATGCCAATAGGTCTTCCGGGTTCTGCAAACCATTCATTTGCAATGGACCTGGTAGTGGAGAAACGGTCCCTTAAGGCCAATAATCTTAGGCGGCGATCTTCACGGTCTGTTGTTCTACGGCGGCGTCCAGTGTCCCTTGCTCTTTGCGTACGGCCTTCTCGAAGCCATGCCTGACAACACCTAACCACAGTGTCTACACTTCTTTGCACTCTAACTGCAATTGCCCGAAAAGAAAGTCCAGCTTCCCGATGTCCCACTATACGGCCCTATCAAACTCACTAAGTTGACGAAATCGTACAGGTCTCCGTACTCTAGGCATCGTAACCGATCGTAAAGGATGTCAAGAACCAAAATCCGCGTTGGATTGGATTCTTTACTGCGGCTGAAATATTCATTTTTAGAGCGTTAGTGAATTAAAAAAAAGCAGTATAAAAACCGGAATGTCCAACTGATAAGGCTGAAAATTTTTTCACTTGTTATTTACAGTAAGATAAATACATTCACTAACTTTTATTAAAATAAAACTATTTAAACTGGGTGTTCGGATTTATATGTCACTTAGTATATATTGGCAGTCATAATGAACGTCTTTTGTAAATGAAGAAACTCCACATATTTTTTCTAGAAGGAACTGCTTGAGCGACAAAATATTCCAGAGAATTTTTGCTTCAACTTTGGGAAACATTCTGTCTACTGGGCGACTCCGAAAGCAGTAGCAATTCACTTTAATTGCATTGTTTATCCCCACTACTCCTAAACCTGTGGGAAGTTTCTACCAAAAACATTATAAGGAGCACCCCTTATTCGGTTTCAAGAAAACGAACCCTCTCAGCTCAATAATGATAACCGTTTTCTTAGGTAAAAATGTCGTCAAGTAGATTGACATACAATTACTCCGTAGTCCCTAATAATTTTTCTTTGTGTACAAGGGCACAGCTTCGTTGTGTTAACGATACACGACGCGTCTGTTGAAAATACTTCTCTATCCATCTAGGTCTTGACGGCACGTGTGCATAGGTGCATAGGCGTATAAATATACATCCACCAAAAATTTAATATATACCCTCTAACCCTCAACCCCCAGTTTTCATTTTCTTTTTTTACTACTGAGTTTTTTGTTTTTGCCATATATGTCAAAAATTTGATCAAAATCCGAGCGGCATTTTCCAAGTTAAAGAGATTTTAAGGATTAGGTGACAGACAGACCCACAGACAGGCCAACCGAAATAAGTGAAATGGTTCTTTCGTGATCTACGTGTCATGTAACATCCAAAATACATGATATCGAATTTTTAATTTTTATTTTATATCACAATACTTCCTCGTGAGTGGCATGAGAACCAGAAGGAAAGTCCAAAATGCTCTTAGAGATATTACATATTTCTATGAACCTGAAAATCGGAATATTCTTTAGAGTAGTTATTTTTTGACTCTTCGCCCAAATTGTGCAAATTACGCAAAACTAGTTTTATAAATGTAAAAATAGTAGTTAAAAGAAACCATGGAGCCTGAAGCCTAGAAGCGGAACAACATTGAAAATGAAAATCGCGACAGAAACATTTTACAAGCTGACAACGAAATCCCTAGTGCATCAGTAAGAACTATAGAACCAGAAATTGTGGTGTCAAAAACAGTACAGAGAGTGTTAAATGAGAGTAAGTACCATCCATAAAAACCTATGTTACAATAGTTCAAGGACTTGAGGAAACTGATTTTCCAAAGCGAATACGCTTCTGTGAGTGGTACACTAGGAAGTCTAATGAAAATCCCGATTTTGTAAATCACGTCTTGTGGTCAGATGAGAGGAGGTTTACGAATTGTGGAGTTTTTAATAAGTTCAATACTCATCATTAGATTGTGGAAAACCCTCAGGAGGTGTCAGTCAGACGTCTACAGACCTGATTTGGAACTAACGTTTGCTGTGGGGTCATTGGTAATTTAATCTAACTTACCATTTTAAGGGTGAAATTAGGTATTAATCATTTCAGGAAATCGACTTATAATACCATTTTTGTTTGACTACAACCTAAACGGACAGAGGTATCTAGAGCTTTTGCGAAACCAGGTTGTGCCGGCTTCACGAGCTCGTCTAACCGAAGGTGAGTTTAGAAGAACCTGGTTTCAACAAGATGGATGTCCGGCTCGCAATACCATTCAAGTCAGGAACTTCTTAAGAATGCAGTTTGATGAAAGAATAATTTCATTAAATGGTTCAATATTTTGGCCTCCTAGATCCCCTGACCTTTCACCCTTGGATTTCCACCCCTGGGGTCACACAAAGAATGTCTATGAATTTGATCCTTCCGCGACCATAGAAATCCTGAGACAAACAATTTTGAGCACAGCGTGTCAAGAGACTTATAGGCTGCCAATCAATATTTCACTAGCCATGGATTACTTATAAGCCCAAGAAAATCCACCGTCATTACCTTTAAATCGAAGCTAAGCAATTTTGACAGTAAAGTTGTTAATTTATCTATCGGAGGTGAGCCACCCCATCATAAACTGCAGATAAAAAAATTAGGTGTGCTTTTTGACTCATCGTTAACATTCCATGACCATGTCACAAAAATAGTACAAAGCTCATATAGTGCCTTGAAAAGCATATATAGTTTAAGAAACGTACTTTCTGAATCCGCCAAGTTAGGTTAACCAATTTTTTGATTCTTAACAAAGTAAAATATGCTGATTCTATGTTTGGTCCTTGTCTGATAGAAAATGAAGTATACAGGTTGCAAAAGATTCACAATGCATGTGTCCGTTATGCCGTAGGTATCCCCCGACGAGAAAGTATATCACCATATTTGAAGCGTATTCCTGGTTATCTATGAGAAAAAGGTGGATGGTAACATATGTGCTGTTGCGTGCATTCCGTTCTTTGTAATAAGTGCCCCGCCTACTTAAAAGATGAATTGTCAATGCGTAATTAACATCATTATGCCAATCTCAGATTTGTCGATCATACACTAGATATTCCTGCTCACAATACAACTAATGTTAAAAAATCGTTTTCTTATATAGGAGCTGCATTGTATAATAAAATACCGCTTTCAGTCAAGCAGCTACCACTTAGTAGATGTAAAGGACAAATCAAGGAGCTCATATTTAAAGACTATCTATATAACTGTAAACAGACTCTTGTTGTTTTTTTTCTTAAAGTCTTATAAATTATTAAATTTTATTGTAAATGTGCTTGTAAGCAATTGGTGCCCTGGTTAGGGAGGAAGAACAGCTGCTAGCTGAATCCTCACCAGGAAAATAAAAGGCATTTTATTATTATTATTAACCGAAATACACTAGCTAAGGTTGTATGAAAAACAGTCACCAATTGTCAAAAATGTCTGGATGCAAATGGAAGTTATTTTGCAAATTTGTAAATTAATACCCACTTACATAATTAGATTTTACATTACATTCACAATTTTGTAAAATGTTTGTTTATTTATGTGTAAAATAAATTTACGGCGATTTTCCTGACTTCACACTCATAGTTGGGAATTTGTCCCAAAACATATGACTTATTGAGAAGTCGATATTAACGTTAATATTCTATTGAAAATTCAAGGCGTTTATGTGTTTTTTATGCCTCACTCATTAATGTTATTTTCTGACAAATAAACCAAGGCCTCCTTAGAAAAAACTAATCCATAAAACTACATGTGATGATATTTCGGTAATACTCCAATCTTTTATGCACTTGTGAGACATCACTAGACTGAAAATTTTACACATTTAAAAAATCTAAAAATCCAATATATCCATAAGAAAAATGAAAATTGAGGCGGGTTGCTGGAAAACAAGACACGATTGAGACATAGCCTACATGCTATCTTATTCTTCTTAAAAAATCTTCGAATAATGTCACATTTTGACAGCTGTCAAATTAACCGTTTTGGATTTACTGGCAAAAAACAAATTCCTCCATTTTCTGTTTTTCGCTGATATTTACAAAACCAATTGACCGATCGTAAATCTGAAGCCGGCTATCGAAAACACTAAAATTTCCTCTAAAACTTTTCTCATTTAATCTTTGCTGTAGGTCGAGATCCCTGTATAGAGAAGCGAATCTGGGACACACTGTATATTAAGATATACTACAGCTACTAGGAATTCTACCTTTTAAATGTTAATTTATTTTATATTATCTGATATATTTGTACGTCTTTTAACTGTAATTTTAGAGGTGTATGTGTATTTTAAGAGGACTATTCGGATATTTCTTGTATTGTATGAATATTACCCACTACATAATCTTGTCATGTGCAACAACATATATACAAACCTGTATATAAACAGCTAAATAGAAAAATAAAACTAAACTAACAAAACCAAAAGATGGTATTGTTAGCTGTCGGCAACTATTCAATAGCGAACCGGCAAGATAAAATGAAACTACCAGTGAAATGAAAGAGAAAAGCTACTTACATGATGGCAAGATTGTATTTTGGTCGAGAGTCGAAGAGCTACTGGTCTCTACCACGGCTACTAAAAGAAAGTACCGTTCTTCGTCATCGGTGCCAAAGAAGGTGCGCGACTGGTTTTTTAAATCAATAATACAGTTGTCACGCAATTGAACGGGCGAGTCACTTAAATTTCTCTCAGGACAAGTTCTTTGATCTTATAGAAACTTACAGGGGGATAAGGAAGGTACGTCTGCTATAAAAAAATTCCTTCACGGTATATCGAAGAGTCATGAACGTTCAGGAAGAAAAGTCATTTCAGTCAAAAGCTTAGGTAGGTAAATTAAAGCTTCTAAAGTCTATCTCCTGCTTGTCTCACCCATTCCATTCTTATTTAATCCTGGCCAATGAATAAAACTACGTATGTTGATTATTTCACAGGTGGTTCGGCTATCTAAGCAGCTTTAGAGAAGTATGTATACTGAGTTGCAAAAAAAGTAAACACCCATGAATGTTTATTAGAATTCAAGAATTTTTTACATATAGATTTGTCTTGCCTTGAGCAAGAAGTGATAGGATGTTCAGGTTTTTCTGTTAAGTTTTTGTGGTGGCTGCGTGTATGGCTTGGTGATAAAGAAGCATTCAGTTTTCGTGCATTTACGGTGTCAGTTAAATGTTAAATTGCATGTAGCTTATTGAGAAGCCTTTTTGTGATTGCCTAAAATGCCTAGTGGCTAAGTGACTTTAAGAGGGGTCGAATTATCGAGTTGCGTGAAGCCGCTCTATCGATAAGAGAAGTTTCTAGGAGGACCAGCAGATCCTTGCGCAGTATACTGCAGTATGACCCAACTAACAATTACTACTCCTATTAGAGCTGCAAGAATGATTATACAGTATTCCTTACACAACATGGTATGCTGTAAGAACATTGGCAAAACGCTCTTAGAACAGCTATACAAGCGGAGTGGGCACACCTAATAAGGACACTTCAGTCATTTAAGAGGTTGTACAAGGGCTGCAGGTAACAGTTATACAACAAAAGTGTAAACCTTTTGCAGCCACTACGGAACTTTTGCGTCAGTGCAAGATTCAGTTTTTGTCAACTATGCAACTATTCTGTTACATGATTCTATTTTATTGCAACCAAACTATTTCTTATTTATTGTATAGGCGAACTGAAGACCATATAACTAACACATCACAGTCATCTTGTTTACTTACATATTGGCCATTGTGAATTTCATGCACTTCTACACTGTGATATAGGGCTATTGAATTACTTGCGCACCAAATATTGTGGTTCTCGTGCAAAGTAGTTACGCAATTTCTACGGGCTTCGTATTTGATTCATATTTTAATAATGATCAAAAGTATGTCTAGATTTTTAAGATGAAAAACTGAACGAATATATCTGCATTAAATCTTCCACTAATCCTATATATAGACACAATTACACTAATGTTTATCACTTTATATCTGTAATGTCGAACTGAAACATAATTATTTAATTTTCAATAGAGGAATATATTTTTACCCCATAAGGCGGGCCGAATAATCACGACATGGTCCATGTTGTCTTTGGTTTATTATAATATTTTGGTGTTGTCTGCAGGCATTATACAACAATTTGACAAATCTCTGAAATGAAATACGGACATAGTCGAATGATTTACCCAGAATTTGTACCAGATCTATATCTTCTGTTTGAACAGTTGATAAAACCTTTTAAACCAATATTCATGCGTTGTTTGTCTTAAAATACTGGTTATGGTATTTTAACTAAAAAGATGACTGCAAAAAGTTAGGTTATGGTGAAGTTGTATACCAATATATTTAGCAACAGATGTATGCCGAACACAGCAATTTTGTACTATAAAAGTTGTAATATTGTTGAGATGTACAGCCTTTAACAGTTACTAAACGACAGCTGGATAAGTGCTGCCGTTGGGTGTAATTTGTTGGTTAAAGTCAGTGGCGAAGCGTCCATATAACCATTGTTACCATTGGTAACAGTTAAAAATCTTAAAAATAAATATTTGATGACTAAGTACTGTGAAATAAGTTCATTTATTTGTTTACCAACAGCGATATGTAATAATAATTCAGAAAATAGCAAATTAGCCCCACGAAAATCATGCGCCCTATAGTGTCTAGGTTTTGTGAATACGATGAAGCTAACTCACCTCGACTTGGTTGTCGGTTGTTACCATTTTCATTTATGGATACACTTGGTAGTCCATCGAGGACCGTCGGTCCGGCTCGTGTCTTATTGCGGTCGCCCGAGTGCGTGAGGCGTGAGGACTATTATGTGGGCTTTTTACCATTTTTTGATTTGGTTACACACTTCTCATTCGTTAGTAGCCGTTTTGGTTACCGGCTGTAGTGTGCGTGCAATTAAACATGGATGAGTGTCGCTGCGTAATCGATCAACTACTTGAAAAGTGATTCTCCTTGTATAATTTTTAAGAAAAAAAGGAGATCATTGAAAATGAAAGACCAACACCTATTTTAGATAATTTTAAAAAGGAATAAAAAAACGTAGTTTGACATTTTAAATTAAGTTGGTATATGGAAACTCTTGGTTATGTGGTTACAAAGAAACAAATTGTGTTTTTGGCGATGTCTTCTGTTTTATACAGAAAAAATGGGTGGACCAGCAGCGGAGTCAACGATTTAAATTATTTTAGGGCTCTACAGAGGAGACATGAAATTTTTCCGTTACATGTGAGATGTGTAGCCAATTTAACTCAGTTTGGCAAACCAAGAATCGAAAGTTGTTTTAATAATGCTATTATGCATCTAGATACCGTATGATTTTTGGCAAAACAGGAATTACCGTTCATTTTGAAGGGGATGACTCTGACAATAGAGGAAATTACAGGGAATTGTTCACATTCATTGCCAAAAAAGATCAAAAATTTTCCGAACATCTAGATAGGTCGACGGTTTTTTCGGTCGGCTTGGATTAGTCACCGCATAAGACGATGAGGTATATCAAGTGCCCCAGACGCTCAGTCCAGGAATGTTTACCGTAATTTAATAATAGTTTAAATAAAATACCTAAAATAAGGAAAAACTTATATTTGGGAGGTTCAAAATAAACTTTTTTTAATAAGATTTTTCACATCTGGTTTTGGCAACAGTTTAGGAAAAGTCACGCGTCGCCACTGGTTAAAGTAGTAAATTTGCAACCCAAACAACAAGGCCCGGGTTTGTCGTATAAACGTTACCATGGATACCACAACACAACTATTTTGACTACCGCGCAAATATGGCGCATAAAATAGTTGTATAAACGTTTATGCAACAGTCAAAATTTGTCCTATAAGGTGTTGCATAACTATGCTATAAGAATATTTTAAACACCTCATTTTAGAGTAAATATACTGCAGAAAGCAAATTTGCATTCCACACAACATTAAGCCAGCATTTTGGTGTTCAGGCAACGACAATACAGAGCTTTTACCTTTTACCAAATTATTATAGCACTACTTTGCTAGTTGGGGAACTAGCGTGGACTCAGGAAGGCCGAGGACAGCGAGCAAGAGTGAGAAGGCGACGTAGTGAAAGACTCCACAATTTGACAGAGAGCGTCACGTTCCCCACACCGTGGAAGTTATGGTATGGGTTGCTATAGCTTATGGTAGCAGATCACTACTAATTTTTATGAGAGGCAATATGAAGCCCGACGCTATATTCAGGAAGTAGTGGAGCCTCATCTTATTCGATACCTAAACACCATCCAAAACCCGATTTTTCAACAAGACAATGGCAGACGGCATGTTGTCAGAGCATCTTTAGCCTTCATGGATCAGAATCGCATTAACCGTTTACCTTGGCCACCACGATCGCCTGATCTATCTCCAATTGAACATATCTGGCTCTTGAATTTGCAACAGCCTCCACAGACTTTAGCAGCTCTTACTCACGAAGTCGCAGTAGCCTGGAATGAGATACCCCAACAGGATATCGACCATCTTATCAGCATGATGCCCAGGCGTGTCAATAAGTGTATAAGAAAACGTGGATCTTCAACACATTTTTGAACCAGTTTCTGCAGTCAGTTGACGGGTCAAGCTGAAAATTTAATCATTTTACTAGTAAGGGGCACTGAACATATAGGCCAAAAATTATTAAAATCGGATGAACATATGTAGGTTTTTACCTTTTTTTGTCACCCAGTATATATGTATGTAAAGACCTGCTAGCTTAAAGCAAAATAATTTATTCGTCATATGAATAATTCGTTTGAATAAATGAAATTATCTCATGAATAATCACTGAACAATTTATTTGGTTGTTAGTCGTCATTCGAATAAGTTTTCCCAACTCTGGTGGTTGGTTGTCTTAACTGTACACTGTTTTGTCTCGTCTCTATTTGCTCTAGTTCAGATGCCTCTTGGTTATTACAGTGTCGAAAGTGTGGAATGACTTGTACAAATATGTTAGGTATATCGGTGTTTCCTCCGCAGCTACATACATAGGTATAAAAAATCCAGTTGTATCTCAACATCATAAATACTAGGGAGGCTCTGTAGACAGATTACTGTTTTTTGTTTTTTCGTATCTGACTTGGAACGAACATTTGAAGATCAAGTGTGAAATGTTCAATTCAAATTCAAATCTTTTTTGATTCTGTTGATCGCAAACAGATATAGAACAAGTCATAGTTAAATTATGAAAAGACAAACAGCTAAAAAGAAAAAAACCAGGAACAAACATTTAATTAATAATAAATAAATACACTTATAAAGATCGTCACATACACAAAGAATCTTACTAAAAATAGGAACTAAACAAGCTCACACGTATAAATAAAATGGCGGCACACAAAAACAGACTGAAATTGTGCGAACTCGCAAAGCGGAATGTCAAATGTGGAAATCAATGCAAAAATTGAACTCTGTCATTATAATCGAGATATTTAGAAACCGAGTAATATGCTTTCTTTATCAACAGGGCTTTTTTTTAAATTGTATGTGTTGGCCTGTTTGATTCATTCATTTGATGCTCTAATTCTTGAACCATAAACTATAGATATTATTTAATTTTCCCTGAGCACCGCCAATTAAAATAAGTTCAGTTCATCATTTACTATTCATTCTTTCCTCATTCCAAGTATTCGGGTGTTGTGACACTACCTTTTAATCCATTATATCACAAAACGCTTGTGTCCATTCTGGTACAGTACCTGCATTTCTTGTGGAGGTTATCCTCTCAATATGCCCAACTCATTGCACAAAGAACAAATCCGCTCTCC